TCAAACACGTGGAACATATGCCACCACTCTATGATCTATTCAAACACGTGGAACATATGCCACCACTCAATGATGTATTCAAACACATGGAACATATGCCACCACTCTATGATCTATTCAAACACGTGGAACATATGCCACCACTCTATGATGTATTCAAACACATGGAACATATGCCACCACTCTATGATGTATTCAAACACAGAGCACATATGCCACCACCTTATGATGTATTCAAACACGTGGAACATATGTCACCACTCTATGATGTATTCAAACACATAGAACATATGCCACCACTCTATGATGTATTCAAACACGTGGAACATATGCCACAACCTTATGATGTATTCAAACACGTGGAACATATGCCACCACTCTATGAGGTATTTAAACACGTGGAACATATGCCACCACTCTATGATGTATTCGAACACGTGGAACATATGCCACCACTCTATGATGTATTCAAACACATAGAACATATGCCACCACTCTATGATGTATTCAAACACGTGTAACATATGCCACCACTCTATGATGTATTCAAACACGTGGAACATATGCCACAACCTTATGATGTATTCAAACACGTGGAACATATGCCACCACTCTATGATGTATTTAAACACGTGGAACATATGCCACCACTCTATGATGTATTCAAACACATAGAACATATGCCACCACTCTATGATGTATTCAAACACATAGAACATATGCCATCACTCTATGATGTATTCAAACACATAGAACATATGCCATCACTCTATGATGTATTCAAACACATAGAACATATGCCACCACTCTATGATGTATTCAAACACGTGGAACATATGCCACCACCTTATGATGTATTCAAACACGTGGAACATATGCCACCACTCTATGATGTATTCAAACACGTGGAACATATGCCACAACCTTATGATGTATTCAAACACGTGGAACATATGCCACCACTCTATGATGTATTCAAACACGTGGAACATATGCCACCACTCTATGATGTATTCAAACACGTGGAACATATGCCACCACTCTATGATGTATT